AAATAAATCAGTCACATACTGAATATGATACAGAATGTTAGACACAGTGAAGTCATATATGAGATACTGTTCAAACTCTTCAATGTGTCAGACAATTGATTATTGAGTGCAACACTCTGATCAGAAAAAGATTCAGATATTGAAACTTTCTGATATAAAGTGAACTCAGTTGAAATATGTGATTGATTTACTGTTTCAGTTTTATAAGATAATAAAGACAGTCTCAATCACTTGTACATCAATACTGCAGTCAGTCTGATGAGTGTATAACAGTTTATTTACTCATCTTAAGAAGTAGTTGAATCACTTAAAAAGAAATTCAGTCTGAGATAATGCTATAGTGCAGGCTATTGTTACTGTAAGAGATAAACTGACATATTACTACAGCAAAATGAAACAATCTTTTACAGAGTACTATGCTGTAGCAGCTCTACTAGATCTCTCTTATCAAGTTAATATCTACACTTCTCAAGATTGAACAGAGAAGAAATGAGACTTATATGTTAAATTAGTCTGAGACTACTACAATGTCAACTATCAGAGATTTGAATGAGCAGATGTTTGAGATGTGAAGACAGTGAAATACAATTCCCTAGTAAGTAATAATCTTTGATAACACTTCATATCACATAGAACTATAATACTAACTTTGAAACAGAACTTGCATACATTGATTACAACTGAAAATCAGGTAAAACTACATGCTTATAAAACTGAATTTAACTGCTATCTTCAAGATGATCTGATGAATTTACACATCAAATCAATTCTAGAGTTATGAAAAATTGTTGAGAGTACATATTCAACTGTTGCACTGATGATGTATGATATTCTGACAATTTCATTGACAGGGGTGAGAATGGAGTGAAAGTTCAACTCAAGTTGAGATATTTATCACTATTGTCAGGGATAATTACAAGAAGAAACAATCAAGAAACTCATGATTGTAAAACATAGAATTATCAGACAGGTTAATACCTCTGATCACAGTATATCAGAGAAGTGTAGTTTTCATGAGAAAGTGAAGAATAAACTTACACAAGAATGTATTTAGTTGTTTCATGAGTGTTATCAATAATTGTTCCCAAATTCTGATTATATAAGCAATCACTGAATGAACTGAATGAGACTGATTTTAATCTTCAGTCTCAGTCTCATTCTGATTTTGAAAGAATGATCATCTTTCACAGTTTATTCTGAGAAATTACTCTCATTTCACTGTTCTTGAATTAAATCTGGTCATCTTTCATGTCATTTCTCTCAGAAATAGTTCATTTTCAGATTTTTTTGAGGCTTGGTCCTGGTGGGACTCACGCCAAGAAATGTATGAGACCAGATCAAATGGGACCAAATGTGAAATTCATGGTCCCGCCGGCCAGTCTAATTATCAGAGATTCATGACATCTTTTATACAAGCTTACTCTGCTGCGCTGTCACTGATCTATTCTATTCTCAACTGACTTTCAACTGACAGTCATCAGAAATCATAGAAGAAGATAATGAACTTGAGGGAGAGAGTGGAGATATTCTTAATAAGAGATCTCACAGCTGCGGCGGTGTATGTCCTGTGATATAAGTCAGTGATAATTATCTGAACTGAACACTGAGTTCTGTATTAGCTGAGACAGCGGCGCGTGTTAAATAAGAATTACACTATATCTTTTACCTGCAGGGCGCACAAGACCCTGTTTTGACTAAGTATCAACATTTTTCAATATTGATATTCACAATATTAATATATTTTTAATAATATTATCTGATAATGCAATTTGATAACACTCTCTTTCACAATATTAATATATTTCAAGAAATATGACAGAGATTAATCAAGATTATTTATTTACTTTTATACATTGATGATATTCAATCTGAGTTAGTACTAAAATTATAACTAAGTTAAGAAATAAGATTATTTTCTCTTATATTAATTCTTCTTATACACATCAGTGATCAGTTATTGAAAATAAATTATCATCTTTCTTAAATTATTATCATATCTTCTGAATTCACTTCTTTCACTTCTTTTACTTCTATTAAAGATTCACAAACTCTTTAAGAAATCACTG